GAACTCACAACATTTTTTTTTTCCTAAACTTTGACTTTTAAAACAAAAACTACCGTATGAGATGAAAACGAAAATTCATTTAGAAAGTTCTCTGGGTGATTTTTGGTGCTGAAAAAATGATACGAGCCTCATAGACTGTAGCATAGAGGTAGCTGGGACTAATGTACAGAACTAAATTTTTTTTAACTTTATTTGCATTTAATTCTGTGAAGTTTCAGTTATCCAAATGCATAAGTGTGTAATGTTTCAGACTGCAAGGTGATATGTAATGTAGCATTTGTAAGATACTCTTGTCAATATTAACTAGTAGGGTTTTGATTTGTACAGTTTTAATTGGTTAAAATGATCTCATTTTAACATCCACTGCTGTAGATGAATAATGTAAGTTCAGATTTAATGAATGGTGAGGAAATGGTGCATGTCATTTTTTTTTTTTTTTGCAAGTATTGAGAGTTCTGTATGTTTTGAAAAGAGTAATTTAACGTTTGGATGCCAAGAAGTGGGTTTTCTCAGAGTCCATTGCCGGCAGTGGGCAAGCCCGGCGATACTGGCACAGAGCGTTAACCACACCTTACTAAGAGCAAGGCGAATAACTTTGAAATAAAGTTTTAGACAAATATTTCAGCTATTTGAGTGTTCTTTTCTGAGCGAACAGTTTGTTCATGGAGTCAGCAAATAGTTATTTTAAATGTGAGCCTTCAATTCGTTACCCATGTGCTTATTCTTCAGACATTTCCAAACCCAGTGTAAACAACACACTCTCCTTATACCAGACATAGCGAGCCTGGCCTGTGGTCTTGTTACCCCTTTTACGATTCTACAGCTTGGGAAACAGCAGCAGACGGTTCTCTCGTACAGCACATCTCATGTTAATCATTGTGGGCCTAGATTCAGTTTGCTTTACTGTCTGGGCCAGTGGCCTATCACATACTGTTAGTCTAGGGGTTTTTGTTTGCTTTTGCATACTCTGGGGTCCTAAGAACTATACCTTTCCTGTGGGGAATCTACTCTGTTGTCTTTTCTCACACTAAATACGGAAACAGTTCCTTGTGATCTTCCTGTGACATAATTGAAAGTTCACCTTTTGTCTGCTACTTGGAGTCTCCCAAAAACACTGAACTCAAAGTCGATAAAGCAAAGGTTGTAGCAGGCTCATTTTAAATGACAAGATTTTGTTTTCTTTGAGACAATCTCATAGAGGCTAGCCTACATGACTGATTCCCCTGTCCCCACCTCCTCAGTGCCGGGTTCATAGGCATGTGCTACCGTGCCCAAGGTAGGAGTCACTTGATCTTAATGTCAAAGGAGTTCTTCAGACTTTTTAAGAGTTGTTCTTAGGTTAAAGGTTCCTCTTTGGTTTTGGTTTTGATTTATCCTTAATTGATTGTAGGGTGAAGTAGCCAACCTGAGATTCATAGTGCAAATTTTATTTCTCTTGAGGCAGTTACTTGATGCATAGTTTCCCTCCTTAAAGCAGAACACTAGTTCAGTTATCAGGAACAAGCTCTTTCCAGCAGTGTTGGCACATGAATTCCTGTGGCATCTTGTCCCCACATGCTTTTCTGTGAGAAGTAAGAAGGTGGCTAGAATCCCTTAGGCAAAGGGATTGTTGCAACCCTGAGAACACTCATGATATCGGCAAGCAGGGTTATGAAAACATGAGACATGTAGGATCCACTGTCACTACTAAAACTTGTCATCTGTAGACAGAAGAGGAAGACAAAGCATTGGATTCTGTAGTTCCCTAAACAAGATGAGGGACCCAAGGTAAAGACTGAGTCTGGTCAGCTTTTACTACCTACTATGAAACCTGGGAAATAACACGATAGCCCCAAGTCAGTCAACCACCAATTAGAGGCATACTGAAAGTCAGAGAGTCTTTAAAACAAGGTATCAGCAAAACCTCATCTCTTGCTACAGAGAAGAACTACGCTGAGGCCTTAAGAGTTTATCTGAAGCTGGGTAGTGGTGGCGTACACCTTTAGTCCCAGCACTTGGGAGGCAGAGGCAGGTGGGTTTCTGAGTTCGAGGCCAGCCAGGGCTACACAAACCCTATCTTGAAACAAAACAAAACAAAACAAAAAAGTTTATCTGAAGGTTAGAGAATGAGTTCTCACCCTTCTTTATGAAAGTTAGGGCTTGACCAGAAGAGAGAGAGGGAAACCTTCAAGTGAAGTTAGCACAGTGGGCAAGGGTGGAAAGGTTGCAAAACAGGCTTCCTCTGGTGGGAAGGACGACTTGTCAGAAAGCTGCCAGGGCATGTAAGACATGCCAGCGTAATTTGACCTTCAGCTTCCTGCTCTGATGTTTCCATTGTTCTCCAAACCAAGAGCCAGAGTGAAGTCTCAACACAACCCAAGTGGAGACACACACACCCCTGTCTGTGGAAATAGGAGACACCAAAGGAATTGCAGAAGATGGCTAATAAATTTGGTCTATCTGGACAAAAGTGCAAGTGGATCTTAAGTGTGTCAGAAAAGATGGAGGGGAGATTGTAAGACCAGCTATGGGAGAGTTTATATCATGAGAACCTTGACAGGGCATCTAAGCAGGCCTTGGGATTCTGCTGGGGGACAATATGATCTGGACTGCAACTGTGACACACATCACATGAGGTGGCTCCGGTAGAACCACCCTAGCACAGAATTGACATGCTTAGATACTCCAGGGGATTCATTCCACAAGAATGACATCCCAAGGATAGTGCCTTCGTTCACTAGGGTCATCTGAAATGCACTGGGTGACAAGCATACAGAACCACAACGATGTGAACTGGGTGTTACCAGAGTATTAGTGTCATCAACTCACATGAGCACAGCAGCAATTCATCCTCATCGGAATTGATACCTACTCAGGCCATGGCTGTGCATTTCCTGCCCACAGTGTGTCCTCCAAACAGTTAACCTAGAAGAATACTTGATTCTTTGTCATTGTATCTCATAATATCGTGTCGGAATCCCCTTGTATTAGCACAGACCTTGATGCTGCAAGCAACTAGTACAGATAGAAGTGGAATGGTCTAAGGCACCAGATATAATATATTGGTAAAATGCAGGGTTGGTATGCTGTTCTCCAGCAATCAGCATGCATGCTGCAACAATGGCTTATGTGTCTCTTGGTGTTTAAGTTCACAGGTGTGGAGACCAGAGCATGGAAGTAAGAGAGACCCATTTTACTATCACTCATGTGACTTGAAGATTTTTTGTTTGTTTGTTTTTTGTTTTTCGAAACAGGGTTTCTCTGTATAGCCCTGGCTGTCCTGGAACTCACTCTGTAGACCAGGCTGGCCTCGAACTCAGAAATCCGCCTGCCTCTGCCTCCCAAGTGCTGGGATTAAAGGCGTGCACCACCACCACCCGGCATGACTTGAAGATTTTGTAATTCCTTCCAACCACCTAGGCTGAAGTAGATGAGCAGTTTGGGTTCCCAGGAGGCAAGGAGGGTATTTTCACTAGGAACCCCAATAAGAACTCTTGTTAATCTAAGACTTGACATGGCCATGTAGGCTGCCCGTGCCAGTGGGCAAACAGGGTAGGAATGAAGATACAGCAGATACTGATGAAGACAATTGATCCAAAGTATAATAAGGAGCTAAAAAAAGGTCTCAGGAACCCAAGAGATGCTGGCATGTTATTCTTGGAACTTGTGATGATAGCAGACAGTGACAGCAATTACAGTACCAAGGAAAAGGCAATTGACTAGGACCCTTTCATGATGACAGTTTGGGTCATGCCACTCAGTGGAAACCATTTGAAATGCTGGTCTAAGGTAAGGAAAAGTTAGGGTGGCTGATGGAAGGAAGTCCACTTACAGCCTCCGGACCAGCTGCAGTCAGGACTGTAGCTCAGAGAGCCTCAAAGCCTGGCCCCTAACTAAAAGCATCAGCATCCCCTGGAAAGTTGTTTACAACTGTACCCGCTCTTGCCCATCCATGGATTCACTGAATTTCAAGACGTGTATGTGGAACCTCCTGGTCTGGTAAAACAAATGTAATCCTGGTGGCTAGAACTTGACAGCTGATTGCTACAGCTCTCATAACCTGCTGTGTTGAATCCTTCCCTGTCTCAACCCCCTCCAAGAATTATATTGACAGAGGGATTTAAATGGAGCAGGGGTCCGGATAGACTCTTAGCTTCTGTGCACTGCTTCCGGTCTTCCCTGTCATATTGCTTCCTCCAGTCACTGAAGGCTGTAACTATTTCCATGCAAATTTTGAAAGGTTCCTACGAGGTCCTATTTGACAGTATACTGCCCCGAGTCAGTGACTTTTTCCTTCTTGCTCTAAGACTTCTTTTTGATACAGAGCCCTGAGAAATACAGAGAGACCACTTGGTACTCACACAGCATTATCTGGAAATGTAGAAGGCAGGTGACAGAGGCTCTGTTGTGGGGATCACTTCCCAAATACACTACGTGAAAGCCTTTGTCATCCGTGCTCTTTGGAGGAATCTAATTTATAACCTTGGGTGCTGGGCGTGATATTTACTTTCTTTAGCTCACTATTGCTACTCCTTCATCCCTCCCAGCATACTGTCATCCACTCAAAGTGGCCTGCCTTAAAGATCTAATCCAAAAGTAGCAAGCCTCTAACATCAGATAACCCTGTGGGGAAGTGCGCAAGGCACCCCCCACTATTTGACATCTTCCTTTTAAAAACAAAAATAGTGGCTAGCAAGTGTCCACATTGTGTATTAGAATATTCTATACACAAGGGAAGGGAACTGAGTGGCTCAGCTGTTTCCTCAGTGCTTACACAGTGCCTGGCACACAGCCCTAAATCCATGTATTTCTCCATAAAGCAAATGAAGGCTGAAATATGACAAGAAGATAAAAACCGAAAGACATGCCAGCCTCTAAGCTAAGAGACTTTGTAGGAGGACGGTATGCATATCTCAAATTTATTTAAAAATTACAAAAAATGTTTCCATTCAAATTGTATACGAGAAAAGTTAAAAGCAGAAACTGCGCTCATGGTTAGCTCCCAGGTGCCCTAATATAATTTATAAAATTGAACAAAATTTAGATGTGTGTCTTATGCCTCTGTAGACACGGGACCCTTTCTTTAGGTCCCTTTCCTTGGGTTCTGGAAGTACCATTATTGGCACACTTTCCAATGCTTTTCTTCTTTGTACTCGATGTAAAATGATTCTATAGACCCCCGTGATAGAGCTTCGAGCGTCTCTCCCTTGGTTATTCCGGATGTGTTCGTCTGTAATCCCCAAGTGTTCTAAAGTGCTTTTCACCTCGTTTTCTTCTTCTTTGAGAGTGCTGGTTTCTGACAAATGTTTAGGATCCAGTTGGAAAGGTTCCAAAGGGGTGGGGTATGGCACCCCTCGCATCCATTCGTTACTCATGATGTAGTTGATCCCATACCTCTCTGTGGGCGTGGGCTGAAGGACTCCTCGGATGAGCCGGTGGCAAGGCTCTGACACATGCTGGGGTATGGTGTAGGTGCCCTCAAGGATGCTCTTCTTTAGTTTGGCCACGGTTTCTGCTCGAAATGGCATCGTACCAGTCACCATGAAGTACAAAAGGACACCCAAGGCCCAGATATCCACATAAACACCAACATAGTGTTCGTCCCGGAAGAGTTCCGGTGCAGCGTAGGGTGGAGACCCACAGAAAGTGTTCAGCATCTCGCCTTTTTTACTAATGGTGCTGAATCCAAAATCTCCCACCTTCACACAAGTGCTACTGGTATAAAAGACGTTTTCTGCTTTCAGATCTCTGTGAATAATTTGGTTTTCATGCTGTGAAGAAACACGGGAGAACGGTCACTTTTGAGGTAAATGACAAAGAAGAAAATATATCTGTTTCTCTGCAAACAGAGAGGCAAGTGATGATGGGACAACCTTAGAAATTCCAGAGAAAACAGCTTAAATCATATTAGCAAACCCTGCCATAACCTTTAACCCAGTGTAATGCTTGCACCTCCACAAATAGACTGGAGGTTTGGGTCTTCTGTGGGGTTGAAGACTGGAATTTGTGCCACACAGACTCTGGACTTCATGCCAGAAAAAAAAAGACCCAGATCTTATGCAACTGCATAATTTTGAAACACAATCTAATAATAAGCCTTGCTTTTTGAGGTCTTACCTTACCTGATTTTTCTGAGTGTCCCCTTGACTGAGACCAAGAGCAGGAAGTCTTGGGGCCTGTCCCCATCACCTGGCTATACTCCTTTGGGTGGGCTCACATAACTTAGCAAAAAGGAAGAGGTCGAGTTTGGAAGGTTTCTTGCAACAGAGTCTGCAATATGTCTCGAGTATGTGTCCCTTCCTGACCTTACACGCTAAATTCAGGCAATAGTCTGGAGAACTTTGACCGATTTAGTTTTAAAGACTTGGGTAAAGGTTTAATGCCATTTGTCCTAATGAATCCTTGGGGTTCAAAACGCAGGCTCCGTAAGCTAGCACTGGTCAAATCTACGTTCAGTTCTATGAGGTGTAACTGAGATGCTGACATTTGCTTCCTACGGCTGCTGTGGGAACTGTATAAGACACTGTGTGGGCGGTGCTCAGCGTGGCCCTTTGCACATGATTGCAGTTCAGCCTTTCTCTCCTCAGAAACCAGAGTGCAGGGAGAAGTGGCAAGCCACAGGGCTTCTGCAGACCCGTAGCTGTGCTCCCTGCTGGAGACTCTGATGCTGCCTCTCCTTGCTATCCGGCCGTTAGACCCACAAGTCAAGTTCCTTCCGTGTGCCCAGCCCTAATATGGCTGGCCCTATCGAGCACACAAAAAGATCGAATCTTGGGGAAGTTAGGCAGTGTGCTTTGCAAAATCCAGCCTCATATAAAGAAATAACCGGGAAACTAAAGAACGACTTGATTGAGTGTTAATATGTGGGGTACAGAGGAAGTAAGAGTTGGGGTGGTCACTGAAGACAACAAAGCTTGGTATCAACAGGCCTGAGACTGAAGCAAATTTCAGAGAGGGAGAGGGAAACTGGGGTGGTCATGGACTGTGGCTAGGACTAAAATATAAGTCATGGGATGAGGGATAAAGGCATCTGGTACAGGAAGGAAGAGCCAAGGAGCAGTGACAAGCCATCTAAGAGGTGCACTATGAGTCTGGAGAAATGAGCGTGGCCAATAAGAGAAGGATGCTCATCTGGCTTCTCCGAGTGGCTTCTATCGATTTCTGGAGAAGCTGCAGGCCTGCTGTGTACCAAGATCCTGGATGCTGCTTTGGAGGCAGGGACCATGGTCCCAGCCAGACTTCTGACGCTCACAGAAGGGGCTATGTTATTGCAGAGCCAACACTCTCTGTGATGGCGATGTGAAAATGAACCACGGCCCCACGTTCCCAAAGCGGGCAGAGTGGGAGCCCCTGCTTACCATGTGCTTCACTGCGGACACTATCTGGGAGAAGATGAGCTTGCTTTCCGGTTCAGAAAGCTTCCCCTCGGTGCTAATTTTCCCAAAGAGCTCCCCGCCTCCTGCATACTCCATGACGAGGTGGAGCTTGGACAGGGTCTCCACGACTTCGTAAAGACGGACGATGTTGGGATGGTGCAACTTCTCCATGCTGGAAATCTCTCTGGATAACAGCCTTTGGGTTTTCTGGTCTAACTTGGTTTTGTCCAGAATCTTAATGGCCACCTTTTCTGGAAAGAAAAAGGAAATAAAGGCTTTGTTGTTGTTGTTGACTTGTTTTAATGGGAAAGTAGAGGTATAAAGCCGGAAGGGTTCTGGGTGTTCTCCTTCATTCTGTTAGACATAGGTTCAGAGGCTCCCAAATTAATGAAAATTAAAAATAATCCTCAAGTCCACTATCAATATCTACACACAGATCTGGACAGCAACTCCTGCCTTCCAAAGAATATTTCACTTGGAATCTTTCACTGGGCTAAACTCCTTTACTTAGCCCAGAGAGCACTCCTGGTCAGGACTTGCTTGTCTTTTCAGTGTCAATGTCTGTGGTTCCCCTCCAACTTCCCCCTAGAGTCTGGTGTTCTTGAGACAACAAACATCTATGGGTGGGACCATTTCTTTTTTTTTTTTAATTTTTTTTAAAGATTTATTTATTTATTATATATGAATACACTGTAGCTGTCTTCAGACACACCAGAAGAGGGCATCAGATCTCATTACAGATGGTTGTGAGCCACCATGTGGTTGCTAGGATTTGAACTCAGGACCTCTGGAATTGCAGTCAGTGCTCTTAACCACTGAGCCATCTCTCCAGCCCGGGACCATTTCTTTATCCATTGTTGTCCCGATCATTCTGTCCCCCAGTCTTTATTCAGCTCAACCCTCACAGTCCTCCAAGTCTAGCCTTACAATTAACCTATCCCAGGAGGCCTCCCATGACATCACTTGAGACCATCACGACACCCAGACCCTGGGTGTTCAGAGCACACAATCTCAGCTCACTAGTTTATATACATTCCCTTCATTCTCACTCTACCTACAGGGACCGTGTTTTACTTTACATTACCTATATGCCTGACATATAAAGTCCAGGACACAGGCACACTTTGTCTATGTTGGGTTGGTGAAGGCTTGAAGAAATAGGCCCATCACTGTGTAGCTGGAGGGAGGACTGTACTGCTGGAGGGAGGACTGCCTGGTGCAATAGTTCTGGACAGGAGTTTGGTATAATGTGTTGAAATCTTAATGATGATTACATCCTTTAATACAGCCATTTCATTTTTTGCAATTAATCTTAAAGGAACAACCTGATATGTGTACAAGGGTGCATGTGCTACAGAGAACAGCAAGTAGCCAGCAAGAGATGGTTAAAGTGTGGGTCATCTTTGTTTATAATGATACGTCTCAAAACGATGCTAATCTGCACTGACCTCTACTTATGTTAAATATATAGGACATAAGAAAAATACAAATATTCACCTGTATAGAAAAATATGGTGAGATATTTCATTAACATGTCTCTACTTTTAAAAAAAGGAAGGAAGGAAGGAAGGAAGGAAGGAAGGAAGGAAGGAAGGAAGGAAGGAAAGAAAGATGGGTCTCCTGCATTCCAGGATGGTCTTGAACTCACTACGTAGTTAAAGATAACCTTGAATTTCTTATCCTCTTACCTTCCTCTCCCAAGTGTTAAGATTACAGGTGTATGCTACAATCACCTACTTTTTTGCAGGACTGAGATTTAAGTTGGAGTTTGTATGCTGTCTGAGCACTCTGCCTACTCTCCCAACCCCAGAAGAACTTATCTTCTAATTGGAGAATCACAGATAGTTTATCTATACATTTTGTATTGATTACTAGTAGTTGTAATTTTTCCTATGTAATAGATCATCGGATGAAAATTGTTATCATTAAAAATAAATGGAATCGTGCACTCATAATAAAACATCATTTTTGTTATTGTTAAGATTTGGCCAGCCAGGCAGTGGTGGCGCACGACTTTAACCCCAGCACTTGGGAGGCAGAGGCAGGTGAATTTCTGAGTTTGAGGCCGGCCTGGTCTACAGAGTGCGTTCCAGGACAGCCAGGGCTACACAGAGAAACCCTGTCTTGAAAAACAAAACAAAACAAACAAAAAAGATTTGGCCAGACTATCCAGGTTAGCAGACAAGTTAGAAGAGACTGGCTGTTTGACCTACTTGCAACATACCTGCTTTGGAAAACTTTGGTCCAGTGTTATTGGCATGAAATAGATGCCGCTTACTCAAAGCACGAGTGTTATTAGTGTGTTAAAGGTAAATTCAGCTTTCTGAAATGGACGGAGGTAGTAATGTTGTCTAATGTGTGGGGTGCTTCTTCTGTTGGAAGCAATATTAAGAAGCAAAGAGGCAAACCATAAATAATTAAGTCCCAGTTTTACTATCTCAATAGGCTATCAGCCCAGCAAATGGGCTTCCTCGCCCATCTTCTGGACATCCTCCTTTCTTGTTCCCAACTTTTCTACCTTTCAGTGATTTGTGCCAAGTGCTTCGTGCTGTTTCCCTGAACCAACATTTTGTAACAATCTATTGGGTGAGTTGTTAATGCAAGAGCTAACATTCTACCCTTCAGATTCAGTCTCTACAGAAGACTTTCCCTCTACGTTCTCCCCTTCCATGTCTCAGTATCAATCTCTGTGGGCCCTTTACCTCCATGCACTCTGAGTGTCCAACAACAGGAGGTGATACAGACCTCAATTTCCCTTCGACAGAAGCCCCCTGTGCCCTCCAGGCAAAGCATGGATCCCATGTGATTTAGTACTGGACTAGTGTAGGGAAGGGAAAGTGCTGTGGGGGTGAGTGCCTCTTTAGATTGCTCTTGGGTGCCTTGATTCATCATCTCACATTAAAGCACATGGGGTCTGTGCTTTGCTTCACAACACAAATGTAGAATGAAATAAGTCATTACTAAAGCCAGGTGTGGTGGCACATACCTTTACTCCCAGCTCTTGGAAGTCTGAGCCAGGCAGATCTCTGTGAGTTCAGGGCTAGCCTGATCTACATAGAGTTCCAGGATGGACAGGACTACATAGAGAGATCCTGTCTCAAAAAATAAATAAATAAAATTTTAAGTAATTTAACCCCTGTTATTCCAAATTGTTGCTCGCTGGTAGAAACATCTGTCTCCCTAAGGAACTCGGTCTTTGTGTGTACCCTTGTATTCACAGATGATGCATATCCAAGTCACAGAACAACCTTAAACGTCATTTCTTAGTTTCATTGTCTTGTACCTTTGCCACGTAGGCTAGGCTAGCTGGATCTTCCTTCTGAGGATCTTCAAATCTCTGCCTTTCACCTCTCACCTCTCACCCCTGGTATTTACAAAGGCACTCAGATGGCTGGTGTTTTATGTGGGTTCTGGGAATCCAAACTTAGTTGCTCACCCAGCAGAGGCAAATGCTCTACCAGATGAGCCAGCTCCCCATGTCCCATCTCCTCTTTAAACACATATTCAAAGAGTACATACTATGCATTAAGTATGGAGAAGACGAGCACTGTTCTTACGACCCAGTGAGAGAGAAGGACTTTGCAAACAGTCCTTAGGATAAGTATGGTTAACATTAGGAGCAGGTCAGAATAAAAAAATGGCATGGCCCCTCTGCATGAGAGGCTAGGAGGTGAGGGAGAAGCCCAGGGGATGGTACACGTGTTGGCCTACAGTAGTACATTTGTGCTAGAGAAGCTGAGGGGACCCCTCTGTGATAGAGATGGAGAGTGATGGATAGTGATCCCCAAATTATCCAGGAGGACTAGTAGGGTGAGTATCCACAGTCTCGGAGCCTGTTTTAGAGAAGACAGCCTTGGGAAATTCAAGGCTTTATACAGTGTCATGACCTTGACTCTGGCTGTAGAAAGAGTGGTCTGACTTCAGTGTGGGAAGAGCAGTGGGGCAGCTGGCTCCTCTTGGTGCTGGGAGATTTGGGAGGAGAAACTGCTCTTTCTCCATATCTGATACAAACTCTGACATGGGCTGGGCAGTGGTGTCACATGCCTTTAATTCCAGAACTCGGGTTGGGGGCAGAGATAGGCAGATTGCTGTAAATTCAAGGCCAACCTGGGCTACAGAGTAAGTTCCAGGACAGCCAGGGCTACACATAGAAAGCCTGTCTTGAAAAGCCAAAACAAAACAACAACAAAAATCCTCTGACATGGGTCCCACCTAGTGGGTAGCACATCCTTTCAACACAGATTTACAAGTTGGGGTGTCTTTAGATGTCTCTAGACAGATGGTGGTAAGGAGAAATGGTGAGTCATTGAGGCAGCAGGGCTGCAGGGTCCTCAGGTGTCCCTGAAATAGAAGGATGGCCGTTGCTACTCAACTCCAAATGGCCATTGCTATTTCCATCACAGATCTGATGCTGTTGGATTTTACTGCTTTTTAGTTTTTAAGAGAAGCCAGAAATCTACACATTTATGGGAAGGCTTCAGATTAGTAAGTATCCATAACTAATACCTCTAAAATTTATTCCTTCTGTATCATCTCTTCCCCTTTAGAGGAGTTATTACTCTCTTAAAAGCCAATGAGCTTTCTTTACAAAGGGTTATGCAATCGAGTTAGACCCTCGTGCCATCCTCCTGGGAATGACAGCACAGAGAGTCCTTTGTCTGCTAGCTCTTCTTCACCATTGCTATGCCGCCATGAGAAGTTAATATACTGACTCGATTCACTAAATATTTGCTAATGTTTAATATTTATAATAAAGGTGGGAGGAAACTAAAAGTTACAGCATGATACAGTATCTGATGCCAAAGAGCTCTGAACTAAAGCCCTGTGATGGTTTGAATGAGAATGGCACCCATAGGCTTGTATCTGAATGTTTGGTCTCCAGTTGGTACAACTGTTTGAGAGAGATTAGGCATCATGTCTTTGTTGGAGGAGGTGTGTCACTTCGGGTGAGCTATAAGGTTTCAAAAGCCTAGGCCATTCCCAGTTAGCTCTCTCCTGCCTCATGTTTATGGATAGGGATATAAGCTCTTAGCTAATGCTCTAGCACCATGCCTGCCTGCCTGCTTGCAGCCATGTTCCCAGACATGACGGTCATGGACTCATTCCCTGAAACTGTAAGCCCCAAAAAACTCTTCGATAAGTCATCTTAGTCATGGAGTAGTGCCACAACAACTGAAAAGTGACTAAGACAAAGCCTGAGGGTTTCCCCTGAGTCTTTGATTTTGTGTTAAAGTCTCAAATCTTTCCTTCT